TGCTATTTCCTTAGGTCATGTAAAGGCTCCCACAGCCAATCTATTACCAATTTATATCATAGTTTCTCATTTGTTATGCATCACCTTGTGATGTCATGTGCTATTCGTTCTGATTATCCCTGATTGGGAAAGGAGAGAGATCGATGAACCAGAGTGGACGATTTCCTGTTGCAACTTATTCGGAAAGGCAAAACATTAATCTAAGAAGAATCTGAGGCCAGTCTTGCCATGGATGTGCCACAAACGCCCTCCTCTTCGACTTGAAGCCAAGATATGCCATGATTGCAGGAAGGAAATTGCCCGAATATCTGTGTTACCAGGAATTGAGTCGAGCACATCATCGTCCATGTCAAGTCAATGAGAGTCAGCGGTCAACGGTCTCCTATGAACAAATTAGTATGCTAGAATTAATCAATCAAAGTTTGCATTCCATTGAAGAGTCTTCTATTTTGAAGAGGAAGCTTCCACAAGCCAAATATCCAGCGGAGAAGTTGAAGAAGATTAAGAGCGATCTACAGAGAAAGTTACTTAATGTGGAATCAGATGACAGCCTTAGTGGTGATCAAAAGTTAACAGAAAATGAAATCATTAGCCAACTAAAATAAAAATTCCGGGCGTCCACAGAGAAAAGCGAGGAAGTGCAAGTCCTGACAGTGACAAGTTTCAGGGTTTTGTTTGGAACGTCAAGTGGCATTTCTGCCCCTTATGACAACCTTGGTCTATCTAATATACAGGGTGTTCCATAAGTCCCTTGACCCCCCTTTTTTCTTGGGGAATAGTGGCAGCAAAATAAAACATATGCCATATGAAATCACATTCATTTTGACATTTAATAAACCTCCCTCGAGGCACTGGAGATCATTTAGAGATCGAGGGGATCAGTATGAATACCGTAACTTTCTGAAAGTCGTAAAAAAAATTTCCATTTTTTTCCCTCTCTGTTGGCGTTCATGTACTCTCACACTCATCTGGCTTCAGGCTTAAAATACTCTTCTGGCTTAAAATGGTTTTGATCACTCATATCTGCACAAATCCTAACCCTAATTCACCTGGAACATAAAAAAGGGGGGGGGGGGTAAAGGGTTTTATGAAACACATTGTACTGTATATAGGCGATTGTGACTGACTGAGTGACTGACGCTAATTCTAACCATGTTCTAGAGAAGCAAGAAATCTGAAACTTGAGACACAAGTGGTTATTGGGATGCAAAGTTCGGAAAAAATCCGACTTTGGAGGGGCATGGCCTGGGGGCACACATTTTGGGGGGAGATTTTTTCAAAGAGATATATTTGCTTCAGCCAAACGGAGAGACATGGAAAGCTGAAACCTGACACGAACGTGCCTACTGAGATATTGAGTTTAGGGAAAATGCCAAGTTTGAGATGCATGCCCTGAGGGAATATTTTTTGGGGGGTGACGTTTTTAAATAGTTTTCTTTGTCCTAGCGAATTGGGCAGAAATAGAAATGTGAAAATTGGCACACACATACGAGGGCCACTCAATAAGTTATCTACCTGAATATGAAAGGGATGAGCAACAGGCCTGTGCCTGCTGTGACATGTCTCGACAGGTCTCGTGAGTGCCCCACCACTATACCAGCTCAGTGGCTCAAGTCCGTTCAAAGTGGTAGCGCATTAGATTTCTTTTCCTGAGTCTGTGTCATGGATTTGACGAAAGTCGAACATCGTTCAGTGATCGAATTCCTCACCAAAGAAGGGAAAGCACCTAAGGAGATTCATGAACGTATGTCTAACGTTTATGGTG